ACTCTTTCCATTCTTATTCACTTAACAGTTTCCTGTTGAAATCATCAATTCTTCATCAACAGCAAATCCATGATTCAATTTGCCAATGTCTGACACAGCAAGCTCAGCAAGGTCAAGAGGACTTAACAAAACAGAGAAGGGCTACTGCCAGGCAATGTTTCCCTAACCCTTAGTTCCATTATTATCCCATGCAAATATATGAGCATCACATCCGTTATATGGACAGTAGAGTAAAACCTACCACATCAACTATTCTACTACTACTACTACTAAATATCTACTAAACTACTACTACTACTAATTATCTAATAAACTACTACTACTACTAATTATCTACTAATCTACCAGTACTACTAATTATCTGCTAATCTATTACTACTACTACTGGTCTACTAATCTACTACTACTAATTAGCTTCTAATCTACTACTACTACTACTAATTATCTACTAATCTACTACTACTACTAGTTATCTACTAATCTATTACTACTACTAATTATCTACTAATCTACTACTACTAATTGTCAATAAACTACTAAAACTAAGTATCTACTGAACTACTACTACTAATCATCTGCTAAACTACTACTACTACTAATTAGCTTCTAATCTACTACTACTAATTGTCTACTAAACTACTAAAACTAATTATCTACCAATCGACTACTACTAATTATCTACTAAACTACTAGTACTAATCATCTACTAAACTACTACTAATTATCTACCAAACTACCACATCTACTATTCTACTATTACTACTCCTAATTATCTACTAATCTACTACTACTAATTGTCAATAAACTACTAAAACTAAGTATCTACTGAACTACTACTACTAATCATCTGCTAAACTAATACTACTACTAATTAGCTTCTAATCTACTACTACTAATTGTCAATAAACTACTAAAACTAAGTATCTACTGAACTACTACTACTAATCATCTACTAAACTACTACTACTGCTAATTAGCTTCTAATCTACTACTACTAATTGTCAATAAACTACTAAAACTAAGTATCTACTGAACTACTACTACTAATCATCTACTAAACTACTACTACTACTAATTATCTACTAAACTACTAGTACTAATCATCTACTAAACTACTACTACTGCTAATTATCTACTAAACTACTACTACTAATCATCTGCTAAACTACTACTACTACTAATTATTATCTAGCAAACTACCTTATCAACTACTACTAATTATTTACTACTACTAATTATTTACTACTACTAATTACTACTACTAATTATTTACTTAACTACTACTTCTACTAATTATCTACCAAACTACCACATCTACTATTCTACTATTACTACTCCTAATTATCTACTAATCTACTACTACTACTACTAAGTATCTACTTATCTACCAGTACTACTAATTATATACTAATCTACCAGTACTAGTAATTATCTACTAATCTATTACTACTACTACTTGTCTACCAATCTACTACTACTAATTATCTACTAAACTACTAATACTACTAATTAGCTTCTAATCTACTACTACTAATTGTCTACTAAACTACTAAAACGAATTATCTACTAATCGACTACTACTAATTATCTAGTAAACTACTAGTACTAAGTATCTACTAAACTACTACTACTAATCATCTACTAAACTACTACTACTACTAATTAGCTTCTAATCTACTACTACTAATTATCTACTAAACTACTAGTACTAATTATCTACTAATC